CATCGAAATATACACTACTACACGTGTGTGTGCGTGCGTGCGTGCGTGCGTGTGTGTGTGTGTGTGTGTGTGTGTGTGTGTGTGTCTGTGTGTGTGTGTGTGTGTGTGTGTGTGTGTGTTGTAGTGTGTGCCAAGGCACCTGATAGTACGTACAACGTACCATATGGGCTCCAACAGATTGTGTTGGCAGATCTCGGGTGAATGACCATTAGGGCAGGAGCAGCGTAACTAAGCAACTTGACCAAACATGTTTCCAGTGATCCCCACAGGATGGTATCTGCAGACTTACTCGTCAGCCGCAGAGGCGTATATTTTCATTAGCATATGGTCGTTCAACCCTTACGATTCAGAAGCGGGGTGACGTTGGGAGTACTCCATTTCGCGTGTTTTTATAGATCTTTTAATGGTAGCTCATTTAAAGGTCCTTCAGCTGGAGGATCCACTCTGGCAGTTTTTTTTAAGCCTGGGATTTGTGGGTTGCCAGCTTCCTAGTGTCATTCGTATACATCTAGCCGGTCATAGAATATTCCGGCTTGATTGTTTCTAGATGATCCTGATTTTGATCTGGTGCTCATCTGTATCCTGGACAGGTTCCTTAGGTGGGATCGACTGTGTTATTCTGTATGTAGCTTGCGTACCTTTGATCGTTAGGTGCTTGTTCAAAAAATGAAGGTAGTTCTAGTAGCAGTGATGCTTTTGTATTATAACCATAGGCTATTAGCGGAGAAGAAGAACCCGATCAACTGAGAACACACGTTTGGCAGGTTATGACCAATCGTGACTATGCTGTTCGAATGCTCAGTCCTTTCCTAAGAAGGGTTTGTGGTTTCATAAAAAACAGGAGGTGAACTTACGAAATGAAAGTTACTTGATTCTAATCATATGAAGCAGGTGATCCGGTCGAGATTGCATTGCTTCTTCACTAATAAATATATATATATAATAATAAAAAAAGAAATTGCAGATTTCAAAAAAAATGAAAGAAAGGAAGAAGAGCGAGATCGAACAGAAGAAGAAGAAGAAGAAGAAGAAGAAGAAGAGGGAGAGAGCCGCGAATTGCAAAACAAGAAACGATCAACGATGACATGCGGAGTGAGGATGGGGCACTCTGTCGCGTTCCAAGATTTCATATTTTTTCTGCTCATCGATTGCCGCGTGGCTCTTCCCCTTTGTTTTTCTTGCAAACAACATTGATAAAAGATCTTTCCTAATGGAATCTCAAGCGGATCGGGGTGAGTAAACACGAGCGACAGCAATGGCCTGTTATTTACGTATCCCGATTGCTAGATATTCCCCCGAGTGTGTGTATAGATATTTGTAGTTACAGCAAGCGCCTTTTTCAGTAAGCGCCGATCGAAAACACCATACACCCTACGCAGTGCATTCACAAGCCAGGAGCATGATCAATTCATCATACGATTTTGGACGGTAACGATCTACAACCCGAAAGCGAGGAAAATGAGGCACGTTATTAAGCCGAGGGAATGCGAGGGTTATCCCAATCATTATAGATAAACCATGCTGGTTTTTCATGTATCTGGGTGCTCGAGGAACGAAAATACAAATGACCAAGGTTTCCCATGATTTTCTTTTATCGATTGTCACGTGTAGCTCTTACGAGTGCTAGCTGAGTCCTACAAACGAAGTTGTTACATGATTTTTTCAAATGGGATTATCAGCCGATCGGGGTGCATAAATACGAGCGATGGCAATCACCAGTTATTTACGTATCCCGGTTGTCAGATATCCTCATGTGCATCGATATGCGCAGTTCTAGCAAAACATCACTTTCCACACTAATGGTCGAGCACACACTTATTCATCCTTATCAGTATATTCACAGGACGAGTATGCACAAATTCGAGCGGTGATTACATAGGACGAAAGACTTGAGGGATCAGTCATGCTAAATGATTTTAAACCGTAGTGATAGACAAAATGAGGTTTGGGCATTAAGCTAAAGGAATGCGAGGATTACTCCGACCAATCAAATAAAGGGACATGATGGGTTCCTAGCGCATCTAGGCACTCGAGGAACGAAGATATGAATGACTGAGGTCTTTCATATTTTCGTTCATCGATTGCCGCGTGATGTTGTTATCACTAGTGCTGCTGATTCTGCAGACAAGATTGCTATACGACCTTTTCCAACGGGATCATCAGCTGATCGGGGTGCGTAAATGCGAAAGATGGTTATCGCTTGCTTATTTACGTATCTCGGTTGCTAGATATTCCCCCGAATATGCATAGCAGAAGCATCGATATGCGTGGTTATGGCTATGTATCCTTCATGTTGTCACCAACAACCAATGAGAGAAAACTGAAGAATCCGTTGATGCCTTGCGCAACACATTCATGCAAAGATTTTAGTAATGATCCATAGTAGACAAAAACAACTGAAGAATCCATTCTATCACACAATTTCACTCTTTAAAACAATGTTTCATAATGCGAGGAACACGCCACGTTACTCTCATAGTTCGATCTTCCCAGCAAAGAAGTCACCTCAACTGTCGCCACCCGCTTACTCGAGAAAGAAGGGAGAGAGAGGGAAAGTACGAAAGGGAGAGAGAAGGAGAAGGAAACAGAAAGGAGGGAGAAGAGACGTATCCCGTATCAGGTCATGCGCCTCCAAACAATCTATTTTGGTACTTGAGGGTACCCTGAGTTCAATCGACCGATCCGCCGAAAGGGAGTGGCCATCCCTAAAGCGCTTTTCTGCTTCGGCCACACGGAGCATCATCAAATCGAACATCTTCCATGCTCTTTGGAAGGAAAGGAGAGATGGTGGGAGGAGGAGAAAGAGGAGGGGGAAGAGGGGACTGGGGAGGCAGACGACTGGGAGATTACAGGCATAGGAGGACATGGGGAGGGGGTGGGGGAGATAGGTGGGGGGATGGGCAACGCCAGGTTGAATCACAACAGTGCCAGTAGTGCCAAGAAGGCTAGGAAGGCGAGAAAGATGCAGGTCACCCAATCCATCGCTTGCTGCTTCTCTTCCACCTTCATACTCCTAGCGCTACCTCTATTGACGCGGCCGCGATCCCAGTTCCGGCAGCAATGCAGTAGAGTGCGAGCGAGAGCGTAAGTGCAGCGAATAGAATTGCAAACATCGTGACCCCGTATGAGACTATGGCCGGCTTCAGCCAGATGGACTCTTCTTTGTTGAGCCACACTGATCGAGCTGCAATGACAATATTAGGGATAAGCGCTAGCTAAAATATTGCGATGAGGTAGAAGCATATGAGAAAGTGACAGCGACGCTTGCAAGAGGCTGTGGCGATACACGTATTCATTGCTCGTATATCAGCTTTGCTTAGTGCCCTGCTTCAGCGCACAATGCTTGCTACCCTTCAGCGCTATGGCAGATGAAGAAATTATACCACTTCCTTGTTGTCCCCTTGCTCCTTCAGCT